AGTTCAGTGACAACTTTGGTTTCTAAGGGGAGATTGATCTAGAGTAGGTAGCAGTCTTCTATTGCAGGTTTAGCATCTTAAATTCCTCTTGAATTAATGTTGTGCCATTAATTCCTGACTTATACTTCACTCTCCACAGTTTTATTTTGAAAGAGTCACTGTCCCAAGTTCAGGTTGTTTGCCAGCAGTAGTTTCTCTTCTACAGTTGAAAAGCCTTTTCTTCATCTCAGCATTTCCTATCATTGAATTTCTGGAAAGGTAAATTTAACTTTGCTTTTCACAGATGTGCTCAAATCCTTAAATACATCCTATATATTTACCACATAAATAGACCCAGCAAACTCAGCAAAATTGGATGCTGTTCAGTAGACCACATCTTGCACCCCTTAAAGTCAGTGGAGCAATTCCCTGTTACACCTACTGACTCCAGCTTCCTGAGGAGGCAGAGAGGACACTTGCTAACCTGTGTCCCAGGCTGTCTTCTGCCTGCTCAGGTCAGCAATCCCCTTGCACCAACCAAGCAACCTTCATCTGAAGCTGAGGAACATCATCATCCTTGTCCCACAGTTTTGGGGTGACCAGAGAGCCGTGGGATGGGCAGACAAGCAGCTGGGACAGGCCACTGAGGGAGGGAGCAGATGCTTGAAGCTGTGGCTCGATACTAGTAGTGTGTGTAGGACACAGCAACTGCAGGCCTGAAAGCATCTTGTAACCTTGTCTTTGCTAGGTCAGGTGTTACCACAAATAGGGCCAGTCTGCACAAGGCTTCTGGCAACATTATTATGCCTGCAAGGGAATAAGTATGTAATTTTCCTCTTGTGAATAATGGATAATGACCTTCAGTGCTTAGCTGGAATTATTCTGCCAGTGGCACTTGTGGGAGGAAGAGTTACGTGCTTGCTTGCCTCATCAGCAGTGAATCTGGTGTCTGCCATGGATTTGATTTGGTATGCTGCTTTCCGAATTAAAAGGAAGAGCTTTAACCTTTAAAGTGCTGCTTTGTTTCTTCTAACAGCCAAATTCACCAACATACCAAGCAGGCTTTGCACTTGCACTGGTTTCTGTTTGTCATGGCCAGTATTGAAGAGTCTCTCCCACATTTGGGAAAACACAGGAGAGCTGTTAACACTGTCTGGCATGTGCAAGTCTGGCAATGCTGTACCACACGTGTTAGCACAGTTAAGTATTATTGGAATGCAGGTCACAGCTCAGTTACTGTTCATGCCAATGTATTGCTTACAGCAATGGGAGATTTCCCCTCTGTTTAGCCATACAGGCACCAGGACAATGAGTAGGAAAATTCTTCAAAACTAGCACAAAGGAAGGTGCACTCCCGTGATTTAGAAATATTCTGACAAGAGAGAAACTGCAATAGCTCTAATCTAAATCACAGCTGTAGTCACAAACTAAAACAGGATGTGAAGGAATGTTTCTTCGAGAGGTGATCCAAAAAAAAAATGATAGCATTACTACCATGAAAGATTTTCACCTATCCCCCCCAGGGAGTATTTTGCCAGTCTCATTCACATATAGAAAGGTCTAGACAGCTGTCTGAAGCAGTACAGCAAGAACCAGCAACATTTCAAAAAAGCTTGAGAGTGTCCTAGTGAGGAAGTGCTCACTGGGCTGTGAGCTTGCATCAAATCAAATAGCAGGGAGCAAGGCTGGATGATCTCAGAGCTTTTTCTGTTTGTAGAGCACAAAACTAATTTTCTTTTACATATATAAGAAAATATATATGTGTGTATATATAGATGACAATATATGTGTGTGTATATATATATATATATATATACACACACACAGAGACATTCACATTCTTCCCTTAGCATCAGAGCTTATGTTTAAGTGGCAGCAGATCAAAAGTGGCTGTATGACTTCTCCACCATCCCCTTCTAAACGTGGACAGCAGCATCACAGCAGATGATGGCTAGCACAGCAGTACACACACTGTTGCGTGCACCTGGACAGAAGGGCTTTTGACTACCTTGGGCTCAGTTTCACTCCTAGGTGTTGCTACAAGTGTTCTTCAAACTTCTTTTTTAAGAGTAATTCATTAAAACAGTAATTCAGGTAAAAAACAGGTTGTGTGCACAACATGATTTATGCAAGGGGGCAAATAGTCAAGTCTTAGTTTTCCTGAAGTGGGATGGAGAAAAGCAGGTAAGTCAAGCCAAGTTAGTAATACTCTGTTCATTTTTCATGCTGCTACATTTGGTACACAGCTACTGTCCATGTCTTCCCTATAAAGCTGAGCACACACCTGAACAGCACTGGTCTCTGAATTAGCCTGTCTCACCATTTGTCTCTCACTGTTGACCTCACCAAGCCATCATGTAGGAGAAAACACCAAAACGGGGAGCACCTTCCTCTCCTCCCTCAACCTCAGTTGCTAATTCGTGTTTACAGCCTCTTGAGACTGAGCTGTATCCAGGGTCCTCAAACCTCAGGGCGCCTGAGGGCTTAGTACTCCAGGGACACTGAGATGTGGATGAGGAGCAGAGACATGGCCAGCCTCCCTAGAGAAGGGGAAGAAATAAAAGTGAGATGATATATAGGAGGAACTTGAAGGGGATCAAGGGTGAGATTAAAAAGTAAGCAGCAATGGGGAGTGCTGGAGAATTCAAGGGGGTGTAGGTATGCCTGCTGGAAATGTGAGGATTTGCTAGGTGTGAAAATGGTTTGGCTAGACAAAACACTGGAAACTGCTGCTATTGAGACCATGGTGAAACCTGGGTGAGGAGGAGCAAGACAGTAGCTACTAGACCACGGAGAAATACATGGCTGGGGCATGAGGGGAAGAGAGGCCCTGGTGTGCAGCGGGTCCAGCTGGTGGAAGTGTCAGAAGTGGTTTCTCACTTAGGGTGATACTAAAGGGACAGATAAAAGAGAGGGTTTGGCAAAAATTCGGGCTGCTTAAGCCACAAATAGTCTGGACCCTCTGCTGAAGGTCTTGGGTTTGGTGTCGTTCAACTGGCCCCAGGAATCTGCTTTGCTGCTTGCAAAGCATTTGGAAAAGACTTCCCCTTCACCCAAGGGCAGAGTGGGATATGGAAGACTGGGGAAAAGACAGGGAAAGGTTCTATCTGTTTTAAATTTATGCTTTGAACTGGGCTCAGAACATTCCAATTCACAGCACCTGGAGTAAAACAACGAGACAACCTGTAACACTCATTAACAGGCTAATCAGGGCTCACAGGATTTTTTTTTCCTATTGCTGTAATAGCTACGTCTAAATAAGTGGAAGGAGGGGGTTAGCTGTGGGGGAAGTGAAGCATACTCTGTGAGACAGCGGGGACACGGCAGCTGGCAGCTTGCTGGAGCTCTATTAGCATTAGTAGCCTGGTGTATCAACCAGCAGGGTGAGGGAGGGTGGAGGTGGGGCCAGAAACAGGCTCCTTGTGCTGCCAAGAAACAGAGGCCAACAAGAACCAAGGAGAAATGTGTTTGTGCCTGTTTTGGCCTAGCCAAATACTGTCTAACAAGAAAACTGGATCAGCTGCTGCAGTAGCTACAGGCCATGTCAGCAAGGAGGGTCTTAAAACTCTGGTATCTATAGAGCGAAGCTCATAGAGGAATCATGATGAGAGGGTGATTGTGAACCTTTGGAGCTACAACCCATGTTCTGATAGCAAAGAACTGTAACGTGTGGTCAGGCAAGGGACACTACATATCTCCTGCGGCTCACCTAGGAGTGATGACCTCTTTCAAGCCACCAGTCTTAAGGAAGTTGTTCTTAAGAGTGTGTTTTGCTTTCTACTCTCCCTTAAGGCTCCCTAACTTCTAGTAATCAGAAAGCAAATGCTTTGGTCTAAACAGACTAAAAAAGACGAAAAGTACTTAGTTTTGGATGCGAAAGAGCAATCAGGTTCTGCATGTGTTTGCTGGGAATAAGAGTGGTAACATTTGTATGAGGATGCTTTCCTACACTTAAAATGAGGTCACAGATTTGCAGCATGTTCTCACTGGATTTACAGTGATGTGATGTGTTTTATCACTGCAAAACTAGACAGATGCATGATAAAACTGGAAATGTTTTTCAGCCCCTGTGGTAAAGCACAGTAAGACAACACTGCTGTAGCATAACAAGCGGCAATTACAGTGGAGCTATTGCTCAGGTCTCCCTGTTTTCAAGGACCTGGTTCTGCCAAGTGCTGCATGAAGCTGCTGATGAAATTCAGTGGTCACAGGGCATGTAAGCAGGATGGATGCTTACGCATCACAACCACAACTTACACACTATGATCCTTCCTCACTTGCCAAGGGAATTAGGTAAAAATCCTCATGAAACAGTGCCCAGAATATAAAAGGCAACTGCATTGCAGAATGAGCCTCCTTGGTGTGGGCTGAGGTGATTCTGCATACTTCCCTAGTGACCTTAAAAATGGAACAAAGCAGCACTAGTATAGTCAGAAATTTCTAACGTCCTTACAGGAAAGGCACATCTGAGTGCATGTACAAATGCTAAATCACTAGGCTGAAACTCTTTGAGAGTAATTTTAAAAAGAACCTAAAGTTAGGCTTCCAACTCTATGCATAGTAGCCTGAATTTTCCAAAAGGGTTGGGAAAAAGAAAAAAGCAATCAATATACGTTAATCCGCTTAGTGTCTGAAGTTCAGAGTAGCAAAGGCATTCTTTCCTGTGAGAAAGCCCTACTCAAACAACTTCTGTTTCAAATTCTTCCCTCTTCTTTTGTTCCCTCCACCCTCTAGACCTTTCATCACAGGCAAGCTACTTCTTATGCCTCTGTTTCTTTGTGTTGTGTCTATCCCATCCCTTAACTGGCTGATGATGGGAGGAAAACACATCATATACAGGACGAAGATTTCTAAACCACATGTGCTTTACTTCAGTAAACAGGCAAAATAGGATGTTTAATTTGCATACAGCATTCACATTTAGTCACATTTGCAGCAGGATTGAAGTGAAATATTAATAACGGTGAGCACTTCAGTTCACTGACAGAGGAATGCACACCACTGCATTCCTGGCTCCAGAACTAAGCAGATGCTTCAGCTAGCTTCCTAGCTTCCATCTCCTGCTTCGCCTTTTCTCTCATCTCTCTTTCTCTCTCTATGAGACCTACTTGTTCTTCTTCCCACTCCTTCAGCTTCTGCTCATGTTTTGCAATGTCTTCCACTTCACATGCTGGCAGCTTTTCCTTGACAAGTTGGGTGGTCAGGGTTAACAGGCTTTCAGATTCAACCTTGCCAAGTGAACGCAGCTTGGAGTACAGCTCCTGTCATGAAAAGAGATTTGTTGAGAGTGAGAAGGAGAGAGCCAGTCAATCACAAAATAATCAGCCACAAAACAGTTCCCTATAACCAATACACTGCTGTTTGAATTATGATTATTGTTGTTATTATTAGGGCAGGTAACTATCACAGCAGAGTGTTTTGATTGTGGTAGCTGGTACCATTTCTTGAAATGCTAACCTCTTGAATACTTTTTTTGGAGCAACAAAACTGAACCATTTTCATCAACCACTGAAATTCTCTTAATTTTCCAAGTTCAGTTATTTGGTATTAACAAAGATGAGCTGACCAGTCACCCCCAATAAATATAATCTAAACACTTTTGGCTTGTGTCTTACCTCAAAACTGATTGAACAATTTGATCCACACTGCCTGCATTAGCATCCCTCTCAACAACAGTTTAAATGTTCTCTTTCTAACAGCATACTACGTAATTCCCACAGTTTTTCTTCCCAAAAGTTACTGTGATCCAATGTGTGACTACACTTACACAGACTACATGATTCCGCTAAAGCAAGGGATATTTTTTCAGGGATATTCCACACTGAAACTAAGAGCAGAGATTCAGTAAGAAACTGCATTTTTTTTCTTTCTTGAGCTTTACTTATTTAGATTTCATGCAGCATAAAAATGTTAATTCACTCAAGACGATGAATCATCCAGTGATCCTGTTTCTGCCTTTCTGGAATCTTTAGCCTGATGGTTCATCACATTCTGATTAACTGCCTTAAAAGTGCAGATACACAACCAAGGAGGAGATGACATGGCACCAGGAGATTCTTTCTTTCTTGTTCACTCATTAGATAGAAATACCTCTTCATGATTTTGCTTTTAAATAAAACATTTTACTGAGCCCAGTGCTTGCTGAAATATTTAACATAAGTATGTACTTTAAAGAAAGGTACATCCATATTTCTCTCCCTGGCTACTTGAATAAAAGTTCTGGGTTTGCATTGCAGGATAACGGAAAGAAGATGTGGGGATCATTCACCTCCAAACAAAGTGGCAGTTCCAGACCCATGCACATACCTAGACTTCCACTTAAAGTTGTCACTGAAAGCTAATGTCCTGTGCCGCTGGCCCACACTGTTCCTCTTACCCAAGTCGATGCTGGCAATACTCTGCAAAGGCACTACTCCTCAGCTCCTGTCTGGAGGCTCTGCCTTGCTCCTAGGAAGGAAACTATCATGTCCACTCTGAGGCCTCTCCACTTCCCTCTCTCTTAGCCAACACAACTGCAGGCTTTGTTGTGTTTTATCAGGCCCCTGAAGGCTTGAACTGGACAGAGAGCAGATGTAAAATGCTAGACATGTAAGTCTGATGGGCTTGGGTATTTGGCTCTGTCTGTTTTTTTGATTTTATGATAAAGAATGAAAACAAAGCTAATGTCTTCAAAGCTAATGGACTAAAAACAAATTTAGTAAACTTATTTCAGTGTATTGTCTCTATTTTGTTTGAGACATCATAAAGTATACAAGGCACCAGTGAGAAACCTGAAGAGACTGTACGGCTTGAGTTTGGGGAAGGAACCTGACAACTCTACACATGTCTACAGACTAGATATGCAGTCTAAATGCAACTGGCTTACATCCTTTGAACCCTTCTTATTAAACCCAAGGATGCGCTGGAAAGGGAGTTTATGAACTGAATTTAAATAGTATGAAATTGAACTACAGAAAGGGAACAAACTAGAAATCAGCAGGTCTTCTTTTCCTAAGCCATTCCTTGCTCTTTTGTGATACATTAGTAAAACTAATTTAAGAAAGCAGCAGGTTGTATGTCCTGCAATTACCAAAAGGGCACATTCTTAAGTCACCGAATCACTGCTTTTCATAAGCAGTCTCCAGGGCTCTGCATGCAGACAGTTAAGAGAAGGTGCACTGCTTTTAGAGAAGGTGTTCCCAGCATCTATGGGATTAAATGTTTGCCCACTGATCATGGACACAGATAGAAGGAATTGCCTGAGTAGTGAGCCTCAGCATATGGGATCTGAGAACAGGTAACTACACCACAAATGACAGTGTCAGAGGTTAGATTACAGCTCTAAAGGCTTTATCTGGAAAGAGCCAAATTTCCCCAAATCCTGTTTGTTTTAGTGGAAGTGAAGGACATGTATCCATACATGTTAGGCTGCCATGGCTTTTTCAGGCACGTCCACAAATGGTTGTTCTGAAGGTTGATGTGAGACATGGAGTCCATTCCATGGAGTACCATGGAGTATTATTTATGCCTGGAGAAAATCTGCATGCTTTTCTTTGCATACTGAGGTATATGATTTGTGAAAGAGAACTGGGCATGCAGGAGGCAGAAGCAATTGGTTTTGATCTCAAGGAGAAAGACTGGGACGTCCTGGCTAATGCAGGGCTGGACAAAGTGCAACCAAATTGTTTTCAGCAGCAGAAGTAAAACTCTGCATTAAGGTTACATACAAAGGGCAAATGATCTGTGCTGGGATAGCAGCTGTGAACACACAAAACAATAGGTTGTTTCAGAACTGCCACCTTCCCTCACACTTGTATGGATTTCTAGTGTACTAACTCTGCTCTGTGAACTACACCTATAGGTGTCCCATGGCCCAACTGGGAATAGTGGCATAAAAGGATTCAGGAGAAGAGTGTGTGAACTCTTTCAGGCTTGGCTGAAATGGCATTCTGACTTGAGAGCTCCTTTTCTCATTCAGATAAACAGAAATTGTGGCTTATTGACTTACAATTACTGCTGGATGCCTATACTTCACATGAAGACTGTGTCTTTCTCATATTAAAAGTTTCCTGTGAGATCTTTGAGTTAAGCTCTGGGACTGCAGTTTTTCAGCTTAAAGTCAGGGCACTCATTGCCGTATCAGGGAATGCCTGAACTGTGGTTAATTATGGAACTTGTGGAAAGGTTGAGGTGAGAAGAAAACTAACCTCTTGGCACTAGTCTGCCCCCTGTTTGATATTTAGGCCATATTTTGAGCACTCTGCATTATTTTCTTCATGGCTAGACAATGGATAGACAATGAGACACAAAAATGTCTCACTCCCTCCTTCAAAGGGCACTTGTGTTTACCTAATTTGCTGTAATTCATCCAGGCATTAATTACCACATGCTGAGCACCCACTGATTCCCAAACACTTTAATTAAAAAGTTCTAACTGCCTGCAAAGCACGTTTAATATCTAAAGATTAGTGGCCAAGTTATGCAAATAAAAATTAAAGAAAGGAAAAATGTGTGTAGGTAAGGTGAAAGAGACATAAGTCTTTTAACTTTTGAAATTTCTTTAGAACAACAGCCTGTATCTGGAACAACTGTCCAAGGTCACAACTGTTGGGGTGACAGCAACAATGGAAACTGATGGGCCACAGAAAGTACTGCTCTTGGAACTATGAACTAAAGGAGTTTCACAACCTGGGGTATTCAGTTTTTACCATAATACAAATCAGAGATGATAAAATAAAATGAGCTCATCATATTGGTATAAAATGATCAAATAACACGCACTCACTAAACAGTGCCCTGGTGAATAGCTGTTTGTGTTTCTTACTGTTATTATCAGTGTGACAAACTAAAGATAACCGGGAGGTGATAAAGCCTGACTTAATCCCCCAGACTGCAGGATGCACTACAGGATGCAACATTCCTACATAATTATAATGTACACAAATGGCCAATAAATTCAGGATGGTCTCATGCCTATTACAATTAATTTTAATGAGCAAGATCCCACACAAGGTCAGATAATGGCTCTCTAATGACATACCACTTTCACGAACAGGACTGGATTTATCATTTTGATGTATGAAAAGTGAAGATAAGATCTCAGCTGACAGACAAAAGACAAGTCGCCTTCAGCATTTATGCCTTTGTAGGCTGCTGCCTCCTGTCTGAAGAACTGAAAATGTAAGGTGACATCAGTTTCCAAAATGCCAAGTAGGACTCCTGATGTACTGAAGGGGCGTCAGTCTACCAGCCATAGTAAGTCATCCTATATATTTTCTAGCATGTATCACAGAGATCTACTACAGTTTAGAATATTAGATAAATGAAATGCTCTTACCTTAAATCGACTGTAGTACTCAGGTACTTTAGACCGCTCTGTTTCATCTGATTCTGCACACTGCTCTAATTTCTTCATTACTTCAGCAGCTTCTGCATCAGATTTCTTGACTTCTTCAGCAGATTCTGCATTTTCAAGGACAGACTGCAAAATGGTCTCCAGGGTGTCAATCTGAACAATCACATTTGTTGTGGTTAGCATAAACAGTCTGGAAATACAATCTAAGTAATACCACTGTCATGTACACAAACAACTTCAGGAGTTACCACATATTTTGAGATGATTTCTGTGTACGATAAACAGAAAACTAAATCCTAAAAGGAAATGGGAATTACTCTTGGAAGAATTTTGTACTGTACTTGGGTTCTTTGAGAGTGTGGCTCTCATAGTCATTATTTTTTGGGCTCTACTATAGAATTGGTACAGAGATGCAGCATTAGCAAATAATCATTAAGAACTTTATTTATTAAGTTTTTAGTTGTTCATTGAACAAAGTAAAAAGTATTTTTGTACAAAGAGCATGTCTAGATATTACAGGCATTTACTATTTTTACAGTAGCAGTACACAGAAAGATAGGATCTTCTACGGACCTGTTGTATCAGAGACAGACACAGACTTACTGTCTGTCAAGGGTTTGCAAGCAGAAAAAATCACAAGTGTATTAGGCCGAGTTCTTCAGACTTGGAATAAGGAGGAAATCTCCAAAACCACACACCCAAAGAGGCAACTCAAAAGGGTGGACATTGCAGATCTGACACTTCCTTCCTTGTACTGTCCAATATTAGGGGGGCTTCAGGAAATAGGGCAATAGATAGGAGAGCCTGCTGAGCAGTGCTCTAGCCTTTTGTTTGTCAAGGGAGACTGCAAGCAGCAGTGATGTGAGTAGCACACTGCTAGTAGTTATGTGAGCAAAAGAGAGGCTCCCATCGCCAGGGACACCTTCAGGAAAAAGTACCAAGAGGAGGAGCTGAGACCTCAGTGATGTTTCTACGCTCCCAGCCCATGTGGTGGTGGTTTCCTAAATTACTACTAAGCATTGTGATTCCAGGATCAGCCTGATGTCCCACAGCACTCCTAAGCCCCAAGTCCCTTAATCAGTGCTGGCCTCATAAATGGACCACATCTATTCAGCCTCCCCGACCGAGGGCAGTAGAAACCATCTAGAAATCACTGTTAACTTTTTGGACCAGTATCACTCAGGGCATCATCTCAGAGGGCATGATACATAGAATTATCTGTGAGACTAAGATGTGATATTTCATCCTCACTGCTAAGAAGTATGTCCCTAAGTAAGGTCAAAAACTTGAGAAACAAAGGTGTCTTCCCATCCCCACAGACATTTGCTTCGTGTGACAAAGACCCAGGTGTCTCTACAGCCAGGGGAAGGCTTAGAAAACATACTTAAATGGTCTGTGGCAATAACACACACTCACTGCCAAGGACATGCCAGTAGGCATTATCACTGGCTCATCAACTGCAGCAGGGACTCTGTTCTAAACATTACTTTTTCTCCTGTCTTGCAAAGGCCTCTGAAAGTTGCTGGGGATCTTCTCATGCGCAAGGCACAGAATTCACAGGTTTTACTGGAGTTTGACTTACATGAAACTACCTTTGTTCAGTAGATTATAGCCTTCATACTTACAGCTTCTTTGCAGATTTTGCTGTCCCCTGACAATGAAGCCACATTCTCCATTACTTGCAAGGCTCTATTGAAGTATCCTGGTGTCCACATCAGTGGCATTAGATTGTATACAGCTCTTAGCCCTTTATTCAATTCCACTTTCCCTGTGATAAAAACATACTTTAGTGTTAGTGCTTCAACACCTGAGTTTTAATGGAACCCAAATGGTTTGGCTCTGGTTTTTAGGAGTGACAGCAAATGCCTTGGCTTCTGTTGCAAAAACAACACACTTCTACAAAGTTGCTCAGACAGAACTGTTACTACCTTGTTTTATTAATGTGCCTTCTTTTTGCTCCAACTGGGTTGGTTCTACGATTCTACTACGTTCTTGTTCCTGCTTCCTCCCCATTTCCCCTCATATAGAAACTTTGTCCAGATAGAAACAAGACCAAATGGACAGGTTTTCTGGTTGTCTGGCTTTGCAGCAGCAGCTCTCATAAGGACATCTGAAGTTCTCAGAAAAATGTCTCCTTAACTTTCAGGGACTGACTGTGGGGCATGTATGCGCTAAATCTGATTCTTTGGATTTACCTTTGTGGCCTTTGGGGTTTACTCACACATGGGTCACAGCCAGACTGTACAGTATTTACAGCAAATGCTCTGGCTAAGTATACAACTTTATACTCTTCATTCTGCTGGAGCTTTCTGAGTGAAAATAGGGGAGACCTGCCAAAATGAAATTTTGGTTCTTGATTCAGGACATTCTGTGCAACAAGGTGTTCATTGACTTCAGCATGATCTGTGATGTACTGCACTGCAGACAACGTGGCTTTTCTTCTGCTAGTAATTACTAGTGAACGTGAAACTCCTACGTAATAGAGAGAATGTGCATCACATTGCAATTGAGGCAATTTACGGTGACTGTCACTCTAAGGCTTTGATTTTGTCATTGTCCGTGTAATGAATGATACCACTTACAAGAGTTGTATCCAAGCTCTCCATCTAATTTGCACTCTGGCCATAATGACACAAAACTATGAAACAGACTCTACTCTGCTCTACATGGAAGAGAACAGCTGAGGAAACACAAGGTAGTAAGTGCACAGACAAAGCCTACAGACCATGGCTAAATTAAAACAGCTGAGGTGCTTGAGGCCACTCTGTGCCCATAAATATCTTTCACACTCTCAGAGGTTGGTTCCACTAGTGTTGGCAAGACTTTAGAATATGTGACATAACAGTAAACAGCTTTTGTCAATGTCATGAAACAAGCACTACTGCTCACAAACAAGAGCGAAGTGCATTTTTGAAATACAGCTGCTACTCAACCAATCTATACAACATTAAAAACTCTCCAAACTGAATGCCAACTGGACAGCAAAGTCCCTGCTTGTGTCAGGATCTCCACTGCATTACAAACTACAGCTCTATGGAAATCGTGTTTTCAAATTAATTTCACATTGATCCCCTTTTTGACTGAGAATGAGGTTTTTGTTTTACAGTCACGATAAATGTGAATCAGCTCCTAATTCTGCCACCACACTTCATATTATGAGACCACATTTTACGAAAAGGTCCACTTTTTATTACCCTCAGTGAAATCTAAAATAAAACATAATGCAGTAATGGAAGAACAATTTATAATACATTGTAAATAAATTAATTACTTTCTAGTAAATAGATATCTATCTGCACTATATTTCTCTACAGGTTTAGAGCAGATTCAAGAATTACCCGTTCCCTTTCCCTCTAACTCTGAATATATTCTGATCTAATTTCTCTTTAATAATACAGCATGTCATAAGCAGCAAAGACTCCTTAACAGATAGAGGATAAAGGCACTGCTACCCGCTGTTCACAACCAAAACATTAACTCTACAATGAGTAGTAAATAAATGTTCTAAACACAGTGTTCTTCAGGCTGTACTCTCTAAGCTTCCTCAGGTTTAAGGATTCTTTTAAGATGCTCACTAACTAGAAAAAGAGTCTATTTTCCATAACCTTAAATTTGTGTCATGGAAATCTGTACTGTTGGGCTATTTATTTAAAATTGTTGGTCAACCAACAAACCAACCCTTCTGTTCTTTACAAACATCATCTTTCTTTCAGCTGCCAATCCAAACCTGCAGAGAGCCCTTCGGCTGGTTCCGAAGCTCTCTGATGAAGGGAATACTATTCAAGTCAGTACTACCCTCCAGGCTTAACAAAACACATTCACTTGTAACTCTAAAATTGCTCCTTCCACTACTACATTTTTCTCCTTTGCCTTCTCCTTGATTACATTTTAATAAAGCTAAGATGCCAATTTAAATCAGCCGCTGAAGACGAGAGAGAAAAGATGACTGTGAGGGAGGTAAAACTTACCAAGGAATGCATAGCCATACAGCTGGGAGCTAAACCCCACAGTGTTACTTTGCTTTAGACCCGTAAGCACAAGTGATGCTCCAAGATTTCTCTCCTCTTCCCACTGCAAATAACGTAAACTAGGTAAGTGTTCCTTAACAAACAGAAATATAAAATGGCAGCAAAGACAGCACACATGGCTTTCATCAGATGTCTTAGCAATAAAGTACAGAGTCATTAAACATGTCATCAGTTACAGTGTGTCTATCCTGAGGAACAGTACACATTACACTGAGGAACACTTCTCTTTCCAGAAGACTGTAAAATGTGAGTGGTTGAGATTTTGCCTGGAAGTCAATCAGTGCATTTTTCTCAGGACAGAGAGCTACGCTGATTTATCCTGGCCAGGCTCTGTCTCTGTCCTGTATGTCCTACCACTTGATTCAGGCTAGCACTGCTGAAGAAAAACATTACATGGCTTCTGTACTAGACCAGCCTTTTCTTTAAAGTACGTGGCAAGACATATGCTCCATAACCCCTGACTAGAATACGAAAAGGGTGAGAGAAGAACATGTTGCTAATGGCTGCTCTGAGTCTGAAATCTGCTCTGTGAAAAGAACATGTGCAAGTCACCGTGACCCCTCTATGCCACAGGATTAAAAGTACAGCTGTCTCTCCAGCTAGAGAAAAGTACCAGCTGTCTGGACAGACCACCAGTGATGGCTAAAGAAGGGCACCCTACCAGTAAATACATTAAAACCACAAGAGTAGTGTGAATTTTCTTTGGCTATGAGATAGTACAGCACATTTTTCAACACCTGAGAAGCACAAACATCAAGTCTAAATGTCTCTTGACTGCAAGTGAAAGGAGCTGAACAACTCCCACGGCTAAGAAAATGAGGAAAAGGAAGCTATGAAAAGCAATAGATTGGAGGAAGTCTGACTGTATAACACATTTTTTGTGGCAGGGTACTTCATTGTCTTGTTGATTACTTTATGACCTAAAAAAAAATACCCCTGGTGAAATGAAGAAGCTTCCTGAAGCACATTAAAATGCACAAAGATTCAACTTTCTGGTTTAATACACTATTCAGAAATCTCTTTCCAAGGTATTACATTTTTGTGTGTGTCCATTCAGGTGACACAAGAATTTGCACGTGACACAAAATACCACCACCTGACAAACAAGCAAGGTATTTGCCCAACTCAGAAAAAGGATACCAGGGAACAGGGCTGTTTCATGCGGAATTCAGCATTCCAGGCGAATGTTACAAGAAAATCAGCTGAAACTGGAAAAACAGTGCTTTCAGCAGTCTAGGTTCTTTTGGGAGCTAACACATTTAGCTCCAGGTGCTAGAGGAAGTGCAAGAACTTAGTGTCAAGAGCCTGGCTGCAACAGGACACTTGCTGACCTGTCTCAAACCTTGGGAAAAGAGAGTGGGATTTTCGAGAGTAGTCAAGTAGTTCTTACTCTGTCTACTCTCACTTTTTAAATCAAACACAGAAAACTGGTGCTGAGCATTACGAGGTGTTGAATGGTACTCTGAATGGTGTACACAAATAAAAATACGATTTCACTGCTGTCTTTGGATGGAGTTATTTCGAAATGTGTATTAAGTAAGTCACACCTCTATTAACACACTTGCCTTAAACACGTCACATGCTCACACCATCTTTGCTTGCACATTCAGCTTTCATGAGAAACTACACCTACTGACAAATGCTTGTCTCTGCAGTAAGGACACTCAAACATGGATAAACAATGGAAAAATGTGATTTTTGTCCCTTTGCTTTTCCTTTACAAGTGACCAAGCATATTTGACTTCTGGGGAGTGCAGGAGGGTATCAAATAGGGCAAATGCATGTATCTTTTCTATAATGAAAACTGAGACTGCAACTCAGGGTAAAACCTTAAGGCATCTGTAATATGCTTTTTGAAAGATACTTCCTGTAAGACAAATGCAGGCTTCAAGCATTTTCCTTATGGATGACAACAGACTATTGAAGGCTTGTGCCAAACTACATGAAAAGTAGCTCCCTAAAGTGCTGAACATGGCAGAGCCCCATGCTGACTGAGTCTCTTCTGCAAAAGTAGAATAATGCCACTTTCAAGACCCTGAACTGTTATGCTGGCCTTAAGCAAGCAAGCTGTGAACAAGAAACCAGTAATCCTTGGAGACAGGAGAGATGTAACAAGTTTAGTTTCAAAACAAATAGGTAGGAGAAATAATACATCCAAAGCCAAACAGGATACTAAAAAACCTAGTGAAAATGCTTTGCAATTCTGCCACATCACCATTATCAAGCTCTAATGGCGAGCAATACTCAGCTTAACTGGGTCCTGTATGATAAGTGACATAGGTTTTTTGCGAAAATTGATACTGAAGTATAATTTCATAACTCTCAAATGGGCATACATTACGTCTGAAAATCCCAACATACCTTCCCTGTCAGTGAAAGGAGCAAAAGGGTGACAAGTTATTTGGTGGCTTTTGTACTTGATGTTTCTTGCTTCCTTTCTTTATTCTGCAGTTGTGAAATTAATGAAAAAAATGGAGTATTTATTTTTTCTAGGTATACTTAGGTGAAATAAAATATATTAATGACTGAATGACCAACTGACAGCACCGTGTCACTCAGGGTCGGAGGCTTTATGTATCATTTTGAGTGTGGTCAGCTTACCGTACATTCAGACTTGGTTGCCCGGTACTGGTACAAAACATAGAGAGAAAGAAGCTGTGTTGATAATTCATCAAAACTTTCTTGCAGCATGATCTCTGTTACTATTGACATAGCATCTATGGAGGAATATAGTACATAGTCAGCACAGTTCCAAATACATAGCTCTCTTTCGCATCCACTTGTGTTCACTGATGCTTTATTGCTGCAGTATGCTTTGAAATAGCTGAGGAGAAAGTTAAAGATTTCTTACAACTAGAATACTATGGAATTAGTCTTATTCATTTGGATTATTCAAACACACTGCAAGAAGGAAGAATAGGTTGAATAGAATGAAACTGCAGCAAAGGAGCTCTCATAATCACCTTAGCTCTACACTCTTCAATTGGTCCTCCTTTGCCCAGCTCTTCAATTATTAACATTTGTAAAAAATCTTTAAAAATTATTTCACTGTTCTTGCATTTTGATTACAAACAAGAGAAGACTGGCTTAAATGCATTGCCCTCAGGGTGACAGGAGAGTACAAAGGAGTAGAAATGTTGTCACAGATCACCCACAGCAGTCTTATATTCAGCAAACAATGCTCTGGAGGAGCTCCTCAGGGAGTTCCAGTGACACTCCCTGTCAGAAAGGACAGTTTGTTAAACAAAAGGCCTCACAGAGAAAAGAAACACTGATGAAGTAAGGGAGAATTCAAAGACGGGGTGTCTCTAAATAAAATAAATACAAGTATTAATTTTCCATTTAGCAAAACCCTCATGATAAAAGCTATAGTTGAGTCCTTCAATTCTGGTTCTTTACAGCTATTTGTTTTACAAGAGGTTTATGCAAAGGAAAGCCCATTCCAAGTCTACAGTACTAGAAAACCTGAAGTGAAATAAAAATTTTAAATATTTGTCAACAAATATGAGAGGATTATTCATCTCAATATTTAAAACAGCTCACAGTGAAAGGTACCTCCAACATGGAAGTTTGGCAAAGCTGGCTCACTCCAGTGACAGCAAGCCTAGACAAACAATTTAGCTATGGAGCTTCTTGAACAGCTAAATATATGGAATATGAACTGTACCAACATGCATTTTGATTCTGACAACACTTTCATTAATTGTCACTAATAATTCCTATGTCATTACCACATAAGTCAGACTTGTAAAACTGAAAAACACGGTTTACATTTGGAATAGGATTAGTAACAGTAGAAAATGTGACTCACATGTGATTAAAAATCATATGATGAATAAAATACTCAACAGAAATGTGACATAAACATGCAGATGTTGATTTTTCATGCAGAAAATTAGTTCAAAGGAAGGAGAAAGCATATTTTATGGTGACTTCAAAAAAATACAGCTAAAAATTTTTTATTCAAAGAAAGGCTCTGCAAATATAAGAGCATACAACTAAAGATCCAGCACTGGTACGTATTTTCTTACCTTCATATTTCTTCTGCTTTATAAAACAATCCAACAAAATATTGAATGTAAAATTATCTGGAAAAATTCCATACTGAACCTGAAAAGAAAGGAAAAACATTCAGTGTGCCAATCTGCAGTTCAAATCTTCCTAAGCACAGAACTGCAGATATCAGAGAGATCAGAACCATGGCACTGCATACTGCTGCAATACAGTTAAGCAACACAAGGAGATTAGCATGGCTCCTCTGATACAGGCCTTCCAATTTCTGATGCACTGGATTTGTTCTGGCATTTTATCTGAGCCTTTAAGACCAGGAATGACATTACTGATCACGTTTTTATGCCTGTCCTGCATCTAGCATGTTTTGGACACCAACACTATCTAACACCAAAAAGCCTCCTGGGAAAGAAGAACACTGAAAAGCTGTAAAGAGCTCAGCTAAAATTTAAAGTGCTTAATTAATTTTTATTTTGACAAATAAATACCTGAACTTAAAACCACAGTCTACAAGACTGGGCTACAACAGGAATTCCAGTTAAGCCACACTTGCCTCAAAAAGCTGATCAAAGGTATTCATGGTTTTACCTTGGTAAAACTTACTTTGTTTTTTAATGTGTATAAGGCTTTGTCTTGTGCACCATATTTTAAGCACTGTCTGATCCAGTTGTGGATGGTCCAGTCTCTCAAGTACCAGCAATTTGGACTATGCCGAAACCTAAAGGATGATAAATAGTTCAATATGACAATATGACCGGTTATCACAGAAGTAAATTATGTAATCAACAAACTATGAGTTTCATAACCACCCCCATTCCTGAACTCTAACATAAATCTGTTAGTGTTTGACTTTGTAGTCAATTACTGCTCTCCAAAGAGATCCAGACAGTCCTTCTGAATAAGAAAAACAAAACTTGGACACACTAGTAGTATTTTAAACTTCTCACTTTACAGAAAGCCTCTAGCTTTTCTCCTGGAAAGATGAACACCATAAAAGAACAGCTTGGTATATTTACGCAGGCCAACTAAGACTGCTATAAATACTGTAGCATTTTTTAACCTTGTCCTTCTGATGGTATAACACTGTACTGTTGCTGGTCTCATCAAAGTCACATGACTGATGACATCCGGACGTATCAGAATTACATCAACCTACAGCTGGACCTGAAACTTTGTAGTGCAATCTGGTGTCTCCCACCCTCCCTAACTCATGCTGCACTTCAACCACTTAATTGATTGCCCCTTCAGACTGGACATCCCTGGGCTGCTAGGTGCTCCATTTGCCTTAGAAATGCTTCATCAGCGAGGCATACCTCATGCAAAGGGAAACTCTGCTGGAGAGCCCTCCCCTGCCCCCCTGCATTGGATGTTCTGTCAGGGATGGATGTTTCTTTAACCTATTCGGACAGACCTCATGTCATGGCTTCAGCAATCTTCCAGGCAACCTACTCCAGTATTCAAAACGTTCGTAAAATTAAGTAGTTTTAAGTTCAGCCTGTTTTATTTCACCCTTATTCAGACACATACACGTCACTCTGTGTTTGAAGAAGTAGTGACAAAAAGCACAGGGAGCTTTAACTCTGGCAAAGTCTCAAACACCGATTAGAAGTCCAGTGGTAAGGGCTGCTGCCTTGGTCCTGGACTGAATTTCACACCCCAGTGTGAAGAGATGTAAGCAATCTTTCTCAGTTCAAATTGTATGCATGAAAAATGAGCTCAGTCCCCAGCACAGAAGTGACTGCCACTTGCTGTAGAAAATGCTGATGACTGAGCTGGGCTTATGTGCAGATGCTTGCAGCCCCAAGCCAAGCTGCAGCACCATTTAGAAGCAGGGTTGACTCTTCCATCTGAGTGAGCATGCTTTCCAGAACGTTTATCAGATTAACGTGGCCACCAACTCTCTTTCCCCCTCAGTAAATCTCTTGTCTGTTGCTGAGGGCTACACAGATGACCAAGCCTGGAAAAGTACTGCAGCCTAGAGAGCCTCTGAATGAAGACAACATGCGTGCCGAAAGCAGAGCTAAATAACTACACAAAGTCTAAATATATGGATTCGCAGGTGGCGCATGAAATCTTCCCAGTAAAACAGAATTTAACAGAAATAGACAAGTATGCTTTGAATATTAAAATACAAGGATCCATTTTGCTGCTATAATTGCTTTGCATTTTATTCTCCCTGTAGTTCATATAATATTGGGAATAGCAAAAACATATATTTGCTTTCATCAAAGTCCTGTATCAATAATGCTTACAGGAAGCATCAATTACAGGCATTTGGATTTAATCATATTTTTATTAAACAATTACCTAATTGCTACAGACTGTTTCACCAACCATATAAGCAGGGTCAAATTAGAACATCAACAACTAGAAATAAACTGCCAGCATCTTTTAAAGTTGCTTCATTAAATGGTTAACAGTTCCACAAGTAGAAAACAACAGGCTTATCTTTCAAAAAACATGGCACTGATGTTCTCAAATACTTAGGCCTTTCTTTTGATACAATCTTTGCAGAAGGAAAGCAAGTATTAAAAAACCACAAAACTCAAAATCCCACAACCAAAGGTTTTTAATGGGTCTGAATATTCAACTTTTTGCAGAGCCGTATTTATGCTTTTGAGTCCACCACAGTGAGAGAAAGCACTCCAATACCTTCTGCACCTTGAGACTGCTACAGCTTACTGTAATGCTGAAAAGCTTCTAGGTTTCAAAGTCATATTGCATTTGGACAACAAAAGGCCTACCAGGGATGTGATGCAGCCTAGAAACAGGAGGAAACAGATCCTGAATGAACACTTACTGCTGGAATCGATATGCACAAAATTCAGAGGCATGTTACAGAAACCCTTTATAACTCCAAACATAAGCTTTGTAGGATTGGGACTGATTTAAGAGTGTGTGTGTACAGACAACCACAGGAACTTTCAGATATAATTACCATATGTATGTTACTATTAAGATATTTATGCTCAACCCGGATCTCCACTGCACTAGGTGCTATGCAAATAAAAAGCAAACAGCTTCTCAGCCAAGCAATTTTCTATTTAATTCTAACCATTAATTACAAATCAGATGCATGGGAATGAAGAGAGGGGATTGGTGCAAGAAAGCAATATATATGCATATAAAAGATGCCTCAAAACTTGACACTTCCATTAATCCGTGATGTGGCAGGAGAGGAATTGGAAGTGAAAGGGAAAGATGTACACTACAATTTTTAATTGTTTCTGATCCATATAATGCTGGGATAAGTTCTGTCTCTATTCTACTGGCCGAGAAGATAAACCAGCAAAATATCTGGGTTTTACGTTAACCTAGACAAACCAACCAGATGTTGTGGCAGACATTTTTATCTGAAAGGGGATGGGAGAAAAGAGGAGGCGGCTCATAATTTTGACAAGCATTAACATCTTCCCCCTTCTCTTTCTCCACAAAGCAGGATATAATTAAGCAAGGCAATATGTTCAGGGACAGATGAAAAGACAGAAGAAAGTTAAAACTACAGAAAGCAGAGAATTCAGAATGAACTAAATAAAGGAAGTCTCTAGCAATTGCTGTGTGTTTAACGGAAAGACCAGAAGGTTATCTTGCAGATGCCTGACGCTGAAACTCATTTTTCCAAGAACTAATAAACACCTGAAAAGCTCAAGATTCTTATAATGTTTTCAGAAAAGAGGGGGAGAAGCAACAGCAACAGTACTAGGAAAGCTCTCTGTTGATACATTTTAATGTTAATGGCTAAAGAATCAATATGGTCAGCCTTCCAGTCACTGAACTGAGAATATCTGCCCCCACAGGGAACAAGAAGAGGAATATCTGTAATACAAGGACATCCTGAAACATCAAGGTCATTGTGAATCTAACAATGCAAGGGAACTAGAATTCTCATTTTGGAAAGTTGTTCAAATGATGCAGTCCAGATTTTCACTAAACAGTTGCTTTGTACTTGCAAAATTATTGTAACTTGGAAGAGATATGGGAGTGTACAGCCTCAGTTCAAGGCAATCGGAACACTTTTAGCCATGCAAGTATACTCTCTTAGTCACAAACTGGCCAGCACATTGGGCTAACAATACATTGTCAGTTCACTAATTTTCTGCATAAGGCTTTATTGCTCATTATTTCTAACAGTGCTGAGGTACTCATGCTGTGTGAAAGAAAATAGACAACGGAACAGTTTAGCAGATGCTGAGAATGCTTTATGGAGTGCTGTACTACTACAGCAAGCATGACTTACCTGTATTGGCACACTCATGCACTGCAGAAAAGGTGAATTGCTTCCCTATTTATTTATATATTTCAAATAGTCCTGCAAGTTTGTTTGGTGCCATCAAGTGGTGATGCTAGAGCTGCTTTCAAATACTTTGTGTTCTCAAGGGAAGTGTAACAGCAACCCTGAGAGCTAATAG